TATATAATTATATATTATCAAGACAAAAGATTAAATGCAATAAGAGGGTGTTATGGTTTGTGTCTAGATGCCCCCCTCAAGCCTTGTGCAATCACAGGCAGGGCTTTGTCAGAGATGGCTGGATCTACAGTGTGTGATTGATTCATTGTGCTATGCTACACTCAAGGGCACCAGGATTAAGGGTGTGACTACTACCCACCCTAAGAAGCCTGGGATAAAAGGGATAGAAAATACAAGGGATAGAAAAGAGGTGCAGTTGTTCCTTGCTTGTTGCTTTGCTACCTTGCATCCACCATGAACTGCTGACCCCTCATCCCTGTCATGCACCACCCTACAGTGCAGCCAGCTGTTTATGGACTGAAACCTACAAAAACTAAGCTAAACAAACCTTTCCTCCCTTAACTTTGGGTGGTAAGTATTTCATCTCAGCAAGGAAGACTGAGTGGAAAGAGTGGGTAAACAAGACATAGGGGAAGAGCAAGTAGCCACGACTGTTTGTAGGAAGGACATTACAAGTAATTACTCAGGCAAAAGCAGAGTAATAGTCAAGTACAAGATTTAGTCACAAAATCACCAGAAATAGAACACATAGAATCTAGAGCAATAAATATACACCTACCAAGCAATCAGGGATAAAATTTAACAGGTAACTAAGTGTGGAGAAATGTGAATGCCAGTGCAAAAAAATTGGATCAAGATAACTTTTCACTAATATAAATGTTCAGTCTTCCCCTTTTTGAAACAGACCTAAATTTCCAAACAGATTCTCACACTTCTCTGGCCTTTTTCTTTCTTGTTTGTCCAGCCCTGCCTTAAATCAGCAGTTTGCAGAAATGGAAATACGGAGCCCTACACAGACATACTGAAATTTTGGTTGTCAGGCTCAGCATTCAGTGTTTTATCAAGATCTCAGGATCTAATGAACATTAATGCTTTCCGGAGTGCTTCAGTGAACAAACATCCATTCTACACTGCCTCCCTATATCCATCCTCTCCTTAGGATTTAAATAATAGTCAAATGCTCATTAATAGAAAGTACCTGTTGCTAAGCCCAAACTCCACTGCTAATCTTCAGCCCATATGCTCAATTTCTTACTTGACATTTCCTTCCCACCTGACATGTCTGAGCTACTGAACTCCCAACATTCCTCTCTAAATCTTACTATGTGGTACCTCCAGCCAAGGGTTTCATAAGAAAGTCATTCATGATGTTTCCTATTACACACAGCCCTTGTTCAATCCACAAGATCTACACAAGCATACATTTTAACATTTCATCTCCATTCCAGTCACCACTTTACCATATAACTTGTAAACCTCTCAACCATTTTATACCTATTAAGTATGAACACAAAAATATAAATCAGAAAGATCAGGTGTAGTGGCACATGCCTGTAATTCCAGTACTGGGGAGGCTGAAACAGGATCACTACAAGTCTGAGTTTTTAAAATGTCTCATCAAGAAACAACTTCTTCCTATAAATAAGAAATTCCTTAGAGTAGCACCAAAGGTCTACAAGCATATCATGCACATGAACAACAGCTAGGATTATTGTTTCAATAAAAACCTAAAAGCTACGAGGTATGGTGGCACATGACTATAATCCCACCAACTCAGCAGGATGGGGCAAGACTGAAAGTCCAAGACCAACCTAGACAACTTGGCAAGATCTTGTCTCAAAAGATAATACAGCTCAGGGGGAGAGCTCCTCTTGAGTTCAGTCCCCAGTACTGCCAAAGGAACAAAAAAAAAAAAAAGAAAAGAAAAGAAAAGAAAAGAAACGAAACGAAACGAAACTCTAAAGATTACAGTGAATTATGTGCTTGAAAATCAGCTATTGTTTCAAGCAAAAACTGACATACATTTCCACCTCATTCCTAGAACCTGAAGGTGGGATTTGTTTAGCATCCTTAAACCAAACCATTTGAGAAAAGAACCTGAAAATGCCTATGGTATCAGCCATCTAAGCCTTCAGTAGAAAATAAAAGGCACAAGTTGTCAGCATTTTCAAACATACAGTAGAAATGCTTGACTAGAAGGACAATATAGAAAGTTATGTATTTCAGAAAAGAACTCCAACAGTTTATTCAAAATGTTTACCCATGAAATTTTTTTTGTTAGTTTTTTATGTACTTAGTACAGGATCTATGTTTTAAATCAGGTTTCAAGTAGTTGATCCCCACTATGTAAGGATTTTTTACTTACAAATCTACCTAAATAAAAATTTATTTTAATCCCCAAACTATCATTCATGACACTTTCATAGTCCCCTGCAGATGTGCAAAAAAGTGAAAATCTGAGATCTTCTAACTTGCACGTTCTTATTTTAGCTCTCATAGTGTTCTTTTCATGGTCAATTTAGTGTTGTTTTTCTCATTATTGTGTTTATTGGGGATTTTATTATACAAAACATCCCCAAGTATAATGCTGAATTGCTGTCTACCATTCCTAAGTGCATGTCTGTGCTACTCCTTAGAGAAAATGAGTTATATTATTACTGGTCATAATTTCAATATTAATGATTCAATAAGATATTTAAATAGTGTCTTTTAAATAATGTCATTTATGTGTCAGAAACACACATAAACGTATTGATCACCTAATAAAAATATGGTGAATAAAGTCTTCCAGAAACCTAACCTGTCATTTCCTCTAAACGCAATGATTTCATATTCAACAACTCAAGTGTTCACAGTGACTTGAAACATAAGTAATCATACAGAGAAAGACAGACAGCAACAGATTTATTGAAGACACTGCAGCAGTAATTATGAGTAAGACTGCTATGTCCACAGTAGACTGACAAAAACATCTAGAGGCACACCATTCAACTAAGCCCTGGCCTAAACACTAACCCAAAGCAAAAAATGCAAACAGTATTCAGTTTGTTCCTTTGGTCTGCCTTAGCTTCTACTACATTACCCATTCAATGTTATATCTCTCCCCATATGTAGGTTCTCTAATGCTTTATCAAAAAGCAGTTGTCCAAACTGATAGGAAAGCCTGTCAATTACTGATTCATCATGTTTAAATGTGAACTAGCCTTGTGCTTGCCAGCCTTGCCAACCTTAGCCTGCATGTTAATTTGAAAGGATGAGGTTTATTAAGCATCTGAATTAAAAAAAAAAAAATCAGAACAAAAAATAAACTGAATATGGATCATTTCAGTTGCATTTGCTAGAGAGAGAAGAAATGCCCAAGAGAACAAAGCATAGGCCTTGGCTCAGTTCTACAGAAAACTTAAAGCTTGGTCCCAAGAGCTAATAAGTTCCATTTTCCAAGAGGGTCTCTTTAATACTTGCCTTCTCTGAGCATACCTGATGACTCCTTTTTCAAAAACAAAGGGGGCAAATTTATGGTGAAGGCCAGTAGAGCACTCTAAAAATAAAATGAATAATTGAAAAGTTGTTTTGTCTTTATGGTTGAATGAGAACTCTCCTTTTGAAATTCATCTTTTTTTTATTCTGCAAAATTATGTATTTTTAACTGAAAAATGGCATAGGACATGCTTAAGTGATAAAGTTACAAATTCATAATTTAGTATGTGAATTGTCAGTATTTTCTCTGTAATAAATGAAATATCAGGGATTTAGTAAGAAAATGAGTAACACTGCTCCTACTACATTTCAAATAAACACTAAAACTCAAAAGATGGAGTTCACAGCCATGTGTTCTTAAAAACTATAACCCAATCCAAACCAACACTTGGGATGATATGCAAGACACAGGAAATTTTAGAGCACAGTACATTTATTAAAACTGATCACCAGGCTGAGTATGGAGGTGCATGCCTGTAATCTCAGAACTCCAGAGGCTGAGACAAGAGGATCAGTGAGTTTGAGACCCGCTTGGGCTACAAAATGAGTTCAAGGTCAGTCTGAGAACCACAGTAAGACGCTGTCTTAAACAGACCAAAAAAAAGCCATATATTCATTATTTTGAGAAGCTAAGGCTGCTCCTCCCACCTCTCCCAAGATTCAGCTAGTCTTATTAGTCTGGAGAACGGCTTACCAAACGATGTCAGAATATTTTACACTGAAATTCAAACACCAATTTACTACTGTTTACTGCATTTCAAAAAAATACAAGTCTTGCATTCAAGCCACATCAACGTCGACTCCATTAAGAGAATTAAAACTACTCTCTTCCACTTTTCTGTTAATCTTAAAACTCAAACGGGTCATTTAGCAGTAAGAATTATTAATTTTTCAAGTATTTATTTTGTAATATTTTGCAATTGAAAGCTCAAAGGTCCGTGCGGCATGAAATAAACAGAAGCAAGTACTTTCTACAATCCAACTATACTAAAAATATAAAACCAAAGTCTAGCAATCAAAGAACATGTCATATGGGGGTTTTCTGCAACTTTACTTCCACCTTTTGCCTTGACCTGTTACAAGATAATGCAAGATCCATCACAATACTTTGTAAGTGGAAGTTACCTGCTCTGTCTCAGCTTTAAATCGCATCACCTTTAAAATCGCGTACTTCCAAAGAAACACAGAGGAGGGCATGAATAATAAGTGTCCTATAGAACAAAAAAAGATCCTAAACAACAAAGATAAGTGGGCTTCTAGTTTTCCTGACCCCGCCCCAGCAACCTATTAACCGAATTTGGGGCAAAGTATCGACAAGCACACACGCTACACAAGTGTTGGTTTCAAACCGATGACTGAGTCGACCCCAGGGCTGCAGGGTCTTCCTGCAGAGGCCAACGCCGGACACCCGTCCCAGCCACTGCGGGCAAAGCCGAGTCTGGACCCAGCCTTGATGGGGCCCTCGCGTGAGTCACAGCCCCAAACGAGACACCCATCACTCGCTAGGTCTTCTATTTACTTCCTCGCGCCCAGACAGTAGGAAATGCGTTCCAGTCATTATACGAGAGCCGGTTGGGGACCAAGAGTCTGAGCTAACTCCTTTTGAGCCCCGCAGAAAGGAAAGGGGAGCCGCAAGCGCGGAGACGCAGAGCCCGCCACGCCCCCGCCGCCCCGCGCCTCACCTTCAGCCAGTGACTCCTCCAGGGTGACCTGGTAGCGGCCGACCGCGAACACCCGGACCCCGACGGAGGAGCCGCCGCCGCCGCCGGCTCCCGCCGCGCCGGCCCCTAAGCCTGCCGCGCCGCTGCCACCATCGGACTTGGGCATCCGAGAGAACTTCTTCATGGTCCCGCGGGCGCCCTGGGGGCGCGCGTCCCGGCCCGGCGTGCGCGAGGCGTGGCCGCCCTGGCCCTTCACCGCCTACGCCAGCGTCCGTGAGCACCGCGGCCGCCGCGCAAGGCCGAGGCGAGCCGAGCCTCACATACCGCGCCCGCTACCTCGCTCGCTCGCGGCCGCGCCAAAAGTGCCGGGCCAGCGCAGGGCGTAGGGCGGGGAGGCGGGGAGGGGCGGGCCCGGAGAGGCGAGGAGGGGCGGGCCCGGGGCGGGGGGCGAGCTGGGCACCTCCCACAGCGCCCCACCGCGGCCGCGGCCGCGGCAGCCTCTGGGAGCCCCAGAGGAAGGAACGAGGAGCCAGGCTGCGTCGCGAGGGCTCCACACTCTCAGGGCTGCAGCCGGACTCGCGCTGCCCTCCACTCCCGGCCGTTGGTAGCGCAGCACTGCTGCCAGCCGCTCCCAAGCCCGGGCGCCTCACGCAGGCGCCGCCGCCGCCGCTGCCGCCGCCGCCGGAAGTGACGCACCGGCCCTTGTCACGTGGGCGCGCGGGTGGGGGTGGGCGCGCCGAGCTCGGGGCCCGGGTGCGAGTGTGAACCCGGGAGGGTGGCAGTGTGTGGGGCCTGATCTCAGGTAGAGGTGGCCCCGGGGTCTGCTTCCGCCCGGGTCGAGCGGCCGGGCGTGTCCCCTTGGCTGGAAGCCGGCGTGTCAAAATGCGGCGGCAACTTTGTAGAGTCTGAGGAACTTCTCGCTTCACTTTCCTCCAGTTCCCAGCCCTGCGCCGCCAGGACCCTCAGCCCGCGCCGGGAGCCGGGCGAAGCCGGAGTGGAGCCGCCCACGCTGTATTGCGCCGCCGCGGGCGCCTGCGCTGGGCAGCGGTGTGCGCTTAGCGCTGTCAAAGATCGCGAGCGTGTTGCGCCGCGCCCGGGCTATCTGGGTCGGGCGTCTCGCGGAGCTGCCTCGCCCAAGGTCACCACCCGGCGACGGTAGCCAGGGCCGGTGTGGAGGGCTTCCTACCGAGTTTGTGGCCATTCTGGAAAAAATAGGTTAGGATCAGCTCGTTGAAGACAAGCTGAGGGCTGTATAGAAGCAAAAGCAGCCATCAGTGCCCCTTCATTCCCTAACTAAAAGATTTGCTTCTTCAAAAAGAAAAAGGGGCCAAGCTGCGTTGGCTTAGTAAACTGCAGATGTCTCTTGCCTGCAGGATAAGGACTGCAAAGTGAACTCTGATAGGGAAGTTGGATACTGGAAGGGCAAACTACAGCTTGGATACGCAGTGCTGGTCTACTTTTCCACAAAGGAATGCAGGTCTACCGTGCACAGAGGGTCCAAGTTCTTGAAAAAGACCAAATTGCTGGATTTTTTTCCCCTAGTGTGGCTTTTTCTCAGTTTAAAAAATGTTAACCAAATTATGTCTAGGGATCCAGCATACAACTATGAAAATAGCTGAATGTGGTTCCATCTCCACCCCCATTTCAACTTTTTAATGAGGTACATGTTTGAAAATGTGCTCAGCCAAAAGACTAAGCTTCAAATTTTTCAGTCTTTGAAGAGAAGCTATTTCTGCCCACGCTAAAACAGTGTTCCGGATTTAGGCATTTCTGCTGCATAACCCACTAAACTACAATTCATTATCTAGAGATGTGACCTTTAAAGCACATTCCAGCTCTGTGGAAGTCAGGTTGTGTTGTCATATGATTGATGGACTGGGGCAGTTGGGGATTTCCATTTAGAAATAACCGTTTTCCTTATTGTGGGGATTTACTATGGATTCTCATTTCTGTTATATTTTTCAAGCAAAATAGTAGAGAAATTTAGTTATTGCATGCAGTTGTCAGCCTAATATTGCAGTGGTTGAACCAAACACAACTTTGTTTGATCACGATATAAGAATGAAATCCTTTATGATCAGTTTGTTAGTGTATCACAACTGTTGTGGGAAAAATGTTTCCTTTACCCCGCATAACCTGCCTTCTGATGTTGAAGCTTTAAGGCACCCCACTGAAAACTACAGATAACACTACGCTATTGGGTCTATGATTTGTTACTGAATGTGTAATGAAATTTGAATATTCTCTGATTTTCACAGAATGGTAACTCCACAATGTTCTATAATAGTCAATAACATTACACTACTTAAAAATGCAAAAACATTGTATTGCAATGCAAGAATGTCAAGCATTTACAAATACTCTTACTACTAGAAGATAATGATATCTGTGGTCAAATATCTACAGGCAGAGATTGTGTCCTCCTAGTACCCTTGAAAGCTAAGAAAGAATATCATTAAACCAATTTGTAGGCAGAAATTGGGGCCTAAGAACAAACTATAATCATTATGAAAATCATGCTAAAAATTCTTGCCTTTCAGATTTTATGCAAAAAATAGTATAGACCTATGTTAATTTCTCAATCTTGCACATAAAATTTATTGGCTTATAATAGACTAGCTGGGCATGGTGGTACCCACCTGTCATCCAGCTGCTTGGATGGCTGAAGCAAGAGGATCACAAGTTCTAAGCCAGCCTGGGCAACAGAGACCATGTCTCAAAAGAAAAAAATTAGTGTGATGGATTGACAACTGGTGGTCAACTTGTTACACCTAGCTAAACTGAACTAGCATCATGTTGGGTGTAGGAGGCCTACCTGAGGATTGTGGCCAGAAGCATAAGAGGCTGTTAGGGAAGCTGTTTGGAAAAGCTGCTGGGGAGCTGGGGGACTTTGTCATACTGGTTTTCCTCCTGTACTTGTTTGTTCTTTACAGAGGAGCTCCCAACCTTGTTGTCACTGAGAATGGCTATAGTTCACTGTGGGGGAGCTCTGGTCCTCATCTTGAGCATCTTCCTGGCTCTGGAGAGGAAGATTGTGCACAGTTCTCCTGGGGAAGTTTGTCATAATAGCTTTCCCGATGGGAACTCGGCTTTCCTCATCCTCAGAGGAGCTCAGGACTTCACTGTCCCTGAGGACAGCAATGGTATTCTGTGGGGGAGCTTGGGTTCTTACTTTGGGTGTTGCTTCCTGGCTCCAGCTCACATGCCTCAACCTGCTAGCACAGACTCTTCATCCCACTGGCATAGACTTTCTAGCTTCAATCACTGACCTTTGGGCCTTCCCAGCACAGATCTATGAGGTGAGCCTGCATGAGACTTTGTTGTGGGTTCTAGGTCTTCAGCTGGACTTGTGGGAGGCACTGTTATGAGCTCTAGGTTTTCAGCAGACTTATGCAGGATATTAGGATCCAGGCCCTCAGCTGGATTCCTTGGTATTTAGTATGTGGACAAATTTCCTGCACTCTTTCGTATGATTTCTTTGGGTGAATCATAATCTTATAAAAATGTGTTCTGTATTGTATTGTTTCCCTTGCATAAACCCCAAACCGTGACAAATAGGTTAAGTATTATTTTAATAACTTTCATTTTACTCAATCATACAGTTATTAGGGGTGATTAAGTATGATTCTTAAAATGAAAGAAGAGGCATATAGGCCTGTAAGTCTCAGCTATTCAAGAGGCTAAGACAGGAGGATCACTTGAGCCCAGGAATTTGGACCCAGAAGAGACAACATAGTGAAACTCCATCTTTTTAAAAAATGCTGCTGAAGCTGCTCATGGTGGTGCACACTTATAATCTCAGAACTTGGAAAGCTGAGGCAGGAGGATCACTGAGAGTTTGAGGCCAGCCTAAACTACATAGTAAGACACTGATTAAAAAAAAAAAAATCTCACTTAAGTTTGTAACATATAACATATATATTACATATATTATCTGAAAGTTCAAGAGATACAAATGCAGAAGTCAAATCCTAGGCCCTAAGCAACCCTCTGTACCAACATGTTTTTCCCATTTAGAGTGAAATTTTTGAATTTATGGTTTACAAATGATTCTGTTATTGTCCTATAACATTTTTATGTGTCACTGTAACAGCATATTTATTTACTGTAAATGTGAATCATATTTTTCCAATATTTGTGGGAGGGTTGAGTTTTACTGGTGTTCCTCAGTATATAGTTGGGAGATTGCTTAACCTGATTGCATCACAAGACATTTTACTCTGCATTTGATAATCACCATGGTTTGGATTTGAAGGCACAAAGGCCAGGCACAATGGTGTTGGGAAGCTGAGAGAGGTTAAGACAGGAAATTCTCTTGAGCCCATGTGTAAGAGCTGGCTTGGATAACATAGAGAGATTCCCTCTCTTAAAAAAAAGAAAAAAAAAAAAGATGTGGTTGGGTATAGTGGTTCTGCATCAGAAATTTTGATGACTATAAAGATATGGCTTCACTGTTGATGTTGGAAAAGAAAATATGTCCAAAGGCCCATATCTAGGAAAATCCCCAGTGTGTGTGTATGTAGAACTTCAGGTAGAGATCAGCCTCAGGCATTGTGGTGGTGAGTAGCCTGTTTCATTCAGTTACAGCCAAGTCTCAAATTCTTAATTCTACCTTTTTGTTGTCCTTGGCCAAATGATTATCCCCAAATGCCCACCTCCCATTCTTTGGTTGTTCCTCTTCCCACCTCCTAGTAATAGTGGCCAGAGGTGAACCAAGATGATCCCAACACTAACTGAGTAGTTGAACCCTTCATAGTGCTCTTTCAACTTTGGTTTGCTACTTCCACTTTGGAAGATCATTCTGATCATCAGAAATGAGGAGGTTGGTAACAGTGTAAAACTCCAAGGTTATGTCCAACTTGCTAGTTTGTTACAGGGGTACAGCTAAGGAAGGGCCATGGGGAAGGGATCCATGGGATGAGGCATGGCTCTGAGGATGTACCCCTGTACAAAAACTGGAAGACACAGCCTCCATTACTTGAAACAAACCTGGAAGCTGTGTCTTCCAGTTTTGCACTCATTATTATTCCATGGCTTTGGAAAAATACTCAATTTAACTTCCTGGAGGAAAATGGAATCCTTTGAAACAGAAAAAATGTAAACATGATGTAAATTCTGACTATCTTCAAACTGTCACAGAGGAGACTTATGGTCAAAATACAGAAAGAGTTATTAAAAGGTAAAAGAAATCTAAATTATTGCTCAGTTTTTTACACACAGCTCAATCTTTCCAAAGCTTGAAGCTGTATTGGCATAAAAATAGTTGGAAAGTATCCACCAAAGGAACTTTTTAAAGCATAAGTTGTTTCACTGTGTGGTTTCATATTACACCACTCTGATAACACCAACAGATCATTGTACTTAA